AGATCCCGTAAACTGGTTATATGAATACCAAACATCTCTAGCAGGTCTTCGGCCTCTCCTGTTAGACCGCGGTAATCTCCGCTTCTGCTCATCCGATCTTCATGCTTTAAAATGTTTTGAAAACCTCTCAGTCTTGCGGGTGATCTAAGGCCAGTCTTGTCTTGCTATCATCAAATGATTAAGGCCAGTGGTCACTGAAAGGCTTGTTACCATGGATGCCTAGAGCTAACATGGTTGGCCGGTTACCACGGGCACATTTTATACTACACTAGTATACTCAAACAAAAAGAAAAGCTTCGGCCTCTGCGTTTCTTCTGTTCACGGACTGAGTGAACAAATCATTTCGGCCGCTGCATCTGCTAGAGTAGCTTAATAGTTTGGTAATTTTGAGTAGAATGAACAGAAACCTAGCACGCGAGAAGAAAACAAAACAAGCTCCAGGGTTAAAGGTCACCAACGCAGTACGCTCGTCGCGGACAACCATCCTGAGCAGTTGTCTGGCTGACTTTTCGAGAAACTAATTACATGCTAAACAATGTACTGCAAAGAAAATAAAAAGTTTTTAAAATCGTCGTAAGCCAATATTCATCCGTGCTCAGCTTGTTAACTACATCCGTAACAGCCGTGACGGCCTTTGCTAAGAAAATTATGTAACCACGTATACACGATTGATAATGTCGCCAATGTTTGGGCGAACGGCTGAACCGATTTCGACGCGGCCAAGTGCATTAAATTCGTCTCAACGGCGCGAATGTTCTTACGCTATTGCGGCATCGATACGCCCCAAAAGGGAAGGAGTAGCCCCAAAAAACAAATTATTGCCATGGGCCCCCATAGACTAACATAAGCTAATGCGGAACGACAAAGGCAGACCGCGCCCTTTGGCTTTGCTTCACTAATAATTCATGGAAAACTGTGGAAAACGCTACAAAATAAAGGTTCCTTGGATTTCTTAAGATTCTTAGATTTTCTTAGTTTTCTCAGACTTCTTATGTTTCTTAGGTTTCTTGTGTTTCTTTCGTGGTTTTCTTAACGGCAGAGAGCGATGCGATCAATCGTTGCGAAGTGTGCATTGCGTAACAAACTTGGGCCGCAACTTGAACCGATTTCGACGCGGTAAAAAGCTCTAAAGCCGTTACAATCGCGCGAGAAATCATACGCCTCAAAGGAATCGATAGCCTCCAAAGGGCAAGCAAAAGCCCCAAAAAACCGAACGTTACCATGGGCCTCCATACGCAAACATGGGGTACTACGGAGCGACAGAGATACAAACCCAAAAATAAGGAAAAATATTTTTTAATTATTAAAATTAAACTTCATAATAACGATAATGTTGTTGTTATTGAAATTATTTTTGAAATTCTTTACAAATTAAGAATTTTGTTTAACAGATAAGAAGTTTGCCTCTGACGATTTAAATTAACAGTTTTTGATAAAGCCCTGATGAAAAAGAAATCGAATATAGGCAAAAAGACTCGTAATACTGGAAAATGTGCAACGAGACGAGCTTTAAGACGGCGAAAGCTCCAACAAGAAAAAAACACCAGTGCTGCAGAAAAGGTAAACAACCCGCCATCTCGTCAAAACGAATTCCGTGAAAGGAAATGCACAACAAAACGACCTAAAGAAAAACCAGCTACGGATATCGGAAAGGTCACCGGATCAGAATTATCTGGAAAACCTGCAACAGCAGTTGAAATTATGGGAACTGAACAACGATCTCTCTCCAAAACCATGGCACAAAAGTTTCCTTTACGAAAACACTTTTCTGAAATAGAAAAAGAACTACGCAAATGGATCCGATCACCCTGGAAATATCCTTTTATTTTTAATCACCTTGCAAAAATAATCATTCCCGATTATCGTGAAATTCCAGCCGAATCTTGGAAACTTGTTACGACACCACGGAAAAATCTTTTAGAATGCTTATTTCATGGATTTGCTCTGTGTTCGTCTAATATCTTTAAAGAAACCTGCGGTATTTGCGGATCCAACTTCGTTGAAGGGGATCGGATATACCAATCGACTGAAAAAGACGAGGGGAAATATATGCTTCATAAATTATTCCCAAACGAGTTTACGACACCGGAAAAAAAATTTAAAATATGTCGAGAATGTCAGAATTGCCCAAATGCCTTTCAAAAGAGCAACCCCCATGGAAATCCTGTAACAGAGGACGTTGTCTTACCCGAAGTGCTTGAAACCGTAAATAATCCAACATGTCATCAACTTCTATCCCTAGGCAGAATCTATTCTTGCGTTTACAAAGCAACAGATCCCGTACGAGCGCAGTACCAACATTATCAGGTATGTGATCGTTTATCTAAACCAAACGTATGTGCCTGTGCCCGTATACGGCCGTTAACGCAAACCCTTATAGTTTTTCTAAGTTATTAAGGTTGACTAAATAGATTACCTTCATTGTTTATTAATTTCCTTCGTTTGTTTACTTTTGTGACTTCCGAAGCTTCTTATTTCTTTACATTCTCAGGTTTTAAATCCGTGACTAAGCAATGAAGAAAGGTCAACAGCTTTCTTAGACCTTTGGCTTTTACTTTTACCTTTACTTTTACAGGTTTTACAGGTTTACAGGTTTCTTACGTTTCTTAGCTTTTTGTTAGTTTTTTAGCTTTTTACCAGTGTACCTATTTAAGTAATTTTGCAGTTAAATTTTTATTATCGTTGTTTATCCGATCGATCGGCAAATCGAGAGTTTTCGTTGTATAGCAAAACATCAAATGGTGAATATATAGGGAGACATGCAGTACTGGAAAAACTCCGACGAACATTATCAAGGGCTACTAGGAGCTATCGTACAAAAGAATGCAGAAGTTACGAAGCATTTACCAAACACAGTCGTCGCAGCAGTACAATGGTTACGCCATAATAACCCACTATACGACAGATTTGCGTGCCTTGCCGAAACACTGTGGGCTTGGCTAACTGAAACTCCACAAACTGTAAATGGAAAAAACCTTCTTAACGAAAATGACCTGGGTGTCGAAACGGAAGCACTTATTGAACCAGAGTACATAGACAATGAAGAAATTACAGAAAATATTACTGATGACACTGTTGGTCGGTGTTTTCTCCCTGACCCTAATGACACCACCGATTTTATGAAATCGGTAACATTAAAGCTATCAGACAGCGATTTTGATCCTAAGTGCTTCCCCATTTTATTTCCCTTTGCAAGAGGTGGATACCAAAAATATAATGGACGAATGGCAACATGGCACCGAAACAAACTGCTACATCGCAGCCCTAATTTCCGAAAATGTAAAATGTTTATTTTTGTGCAACTAGACCGAAAAATAAAAAACCATTTGTTTTCGGCTAACAAATTTTTTATCAATAACCGCAAAAAAATGGTTGCCGGTCCAGAAAAGGACGCCACTGAATACGACAACCATACACCATACGGCAAAGAGCTACCACCGAGACTCATTGGTTCTGCGAGTTACTGGGCTAGTTGCACTGCCGATATATTTGCCATTTCAAGTGACAATTACCTTGGGCAACCAGATATTTTTGTCACATTGACTCAAAATGATGCTTGGCCTGAAATCCAGTTTGCGTGTACCAACAAGCCAGGAGAACATCCAAAAAACTACACTGATATTAACCGAACATTAACCAGCACTGCCGTTAACAATCCAGTAGAAGTTACCTTGGCATATCATCAAAGATGGCTAGCGTTTAAGCAAAAATTCCTACTGAATCACGAAAGCCCATTTGGCAAAATTAAAGGTTACTGGTACCGACATGAATATCAGAAGAGAGGTGCCATTCATACTCATCTTGTCATTTGGGTTGAAACATGGACGGAAAATACGCTAGTACAAGCGCACTTCCCACAAGAAAACGATGCCCTGTCTCAGTACATACGTCAATTAATTTTGCAATTTCAAATACACGAACGCTGTATTCCTGAACGATGTTTTAAAGGTGTTGCCGGACAGCAACTCACAAAATGCAAATATGGATTTCCATTCCATACACCTAATCCGGAATGCAAATTAGACGAAACCAAAGTTAGATACGAGTACCCACGATACTCACCCGAAGACGAGAGAATAGTCCCCTACAACTCAACTCTATTGTTATTTTGGCAAGGACACATTAACGTTCAAAAAATAACTTCTAACGGATGGCAACTCTACCTCGCAAAATATGTTGCGAAATCGGAACCGAAACTAAGAATTCGAACTACGTTTCAGAACTCAGTCCAAAAGCATTTGTCAACAAAAATCACCGGCATTCTCGAAGCATCACAACGATTACTCAGCAAAGATTTGCATGGCTCATCTGTGCAGTGTATTTACCTAATAGATGAAGTTGACCCAACGTATAAAACCCTTCGAAAGGGATTCAACAGACAAGAAAAGCCTACGGACACAGATTATTATGACACAAAATACGAAAAATATCTGAAACGAAACGAGCGACTTAAAGATCTCACATACACCGAATTTTTTGAGTACTTTTCTTCGACTTCTACACCGTCAAGTGTGCAAGAAAACGACTTTGAACCTGACGACACAAATGAAACCGTTAATACATCCGAAAAAACGACGATGTACTGGAATGGACTAAGAGCAAGCACAATCGACATACTTAATCAAATTCGTTCCGCAGAAGTTATCGGCAATTCAAGTGAAACCAAAGTAAAAAAACGAAGAGTTCCGGCTTCCAAACGTTTCCGATTCGTTTTAACAGATTCAACTGACACCGACGCATTTTATCGGCAGCTATTCCTCTCCAAAAATCCAGTTTTCCGAAATGAACCATATTTTTCACCCCATAATACTAACAAAACGTTTTTGGAGGAATGCATCATAAGGAATTTAATAGATGAAGCTATTGTCCAAGATACATTTGGAAGAGCAGTAAGCAAGGGATTATCAATAACCAAAATACGAGAACTGGCTGACCTTTGCCTCAAAACTTTTCCCGACTTTGCTGAAGCTACAGAGGAAGCCTTATGCAATATCGAACACATGTATAACGAAAGCTGCTTCGAATCGACCACCGAAACAGAACTTATAAATGATGAAAAGTATTTCCCTAAACCAGAAACTGAGCCCGTACTGCCAACGGGTAAACAAATGGACATCGCTAACGAAGTCATTACCAACATCGCGAAAGGCAACCAGACTTTGCTATCGATTATTGGCTGCGCTGGAACGGGCAAAAGCGTTATTGTAAAACATGTACACTGGGAATTAGCCAAACGCAACACGCGCACGCATGTGTGCGTCGTAGCACCTACGGGAACCGCTGCCAATATTATCGGTGGAACTACTATTCACTCGTACTTTGGGATCGGAATAGATAACAAACACAAAACAGAAAGAGACACCATTGAATACTGGAGAGCACATTTGGTTGACGTCATAATTATTGATGAGATGAGCATGGTCACTCAGGAAGTACTAACATCACTAAGCAGTTTACTACAAAAGGTCAACAAAAGAAATCAGAGATTCAAAGTCTTTGGTGGTGTATCTGTAATTCTCCTTGGTGACCCCGCATGACTACCACCCGTTGCTTTAGATAAACAGAACCATTCAATTTTCCTAGGAAAACATTGGCCAAAATTTAAGGTCACCACGCTGACAGCCATTCACAGACAAAGTGATCCGGATTTTCAAGAAGTTTTAAAACATCTTCGATACGGTAGCTGCTCTCAGTCTGTGCAAAAGTCATTAAAACAAAGATCTATAGCGGCCGAAGAAGTAATGATCGATCCCAACAATTATGTTCCAATAATCTGCCCACATATAGATACAGAGAACGAATGGTGCGAAAAATACCTTGCGGCTTTGGATACCGATCAAATAAACTTCGAAGCTCGTGACTATGGACTTAACAAGGAATCCCTCAGTGAAGTGGACCAACGAAGAGTTAACAAATGGTGTCACGATCGTTTCCCTGATTTATTAAAAATTAAACGGGGGGCAAAAGTAATGTTATTGAGAAATATTGATGTAAGCAGTGGATGGCACAATGGCACAATTGCAGAAGTGACAGATTACAATACCAGAATTATTACTGTTAAATCGATTCAAACTGGACTGACTCTATGCATCCCCCGATTTAAGAACACCTACAAGATATTTGGCAAAGTAATTGGATACAGAGAACAATTCCCTCTACAATTAGCGTATGCTCTGACTATTCACAAAATCCAAGGCCAAACATTAGAGAAAGTAATCGTCGACATAAGAAAACCGTGCTATACTGCGATTTCGCGTGTCAAATCACTCAAAAATTTATTCATTATCGGAACATTCGAACAATCGATATTTGTTGACCAATGGGTGCTGGATATTTTATTACGGATTGAAAAAACGGACACTTCACAATCACCTCCATCTGAAATTCAGCTTCACTGTGAAGTCTTCTCACACGTTAGACGCAGTAATCAAAAGCGGAAAGCACCAAGCAATAGTCCGTCCACCATTACACGACGTGTACAGTCTGTACAAACGCAACCGGGAAGTACCAATACCGTTACACCTGTATTCCCTACTTCCACAAATCTCCCATTACCACCGATTAACCTATTTGCGAACGGGAACTATTGGAACCAGCAACTACAAATTTCCCCTACCGACTACGAAGAGATAATAAATGAAGAACCGCTAACCATAAACGTTATTGATGCTGCCATTTTTCTTTTACAAAAACGAAATAGCCAGAAAGTTCTTACGAGTAAATTTTTCTCCGGTCTCGAATATATAGCCAACTTCCAAAAAAGCGATTTTGAAAGTACCATTGCTAACGGTGATTCTGGCATGCAAATTATTTTTATCAACGGAAATCATTATCAGGCCATTGTTCGCACTACGGACATCATAAAAGTGTACGACTCTCTGGATTCTCAAAATCCCAATTTTGACATCATACGACAATTAAAAAAACAAATCAAAAACAATACTATGGATCGGATTTTACTCCAGTACGAATCAGTGCAACGACAACAAAATGGAACGGACTGTGGCGTATTTGCAATAGCGTTTGCAACCGCACTACTTTTCGATCAGAATCCTGCCGAACTAACCTTCGTTCCTTCACTGTTGCGCAAGCATTTAATTTCCTGCTTTAAAAATATGGAAATAACGCCCTTCCCAACGTGCAGCCACACCTGTATGCGTACTCTCAACCGACAGTTATGGATCTAAGAAACTAACCTTTAAGAAAAGTGTTTCAGGATGTCAAAGTTACAGAGTGTACAAGCCAGGTAAAAATTGATCGAAATCGAAAAGACTAAAATCCGCACCGTGCCATAGGCTTAGGCGTAACCCGTATACTGACTATTTTCGCTGCATATATATTTTTAAATTACTAAATTTTTTTGATTTATTATACGCATTTATAAATACGTATATATAGGCAATAGTACGACAAGAACTAGTTAACTTCATCTTTATCCAGTGAACTTCATGTTTATCCAGTGAACTTTATAACCACATAATTATTATTATATATATTAAGTATTAATTAAGCATTTTGTTATTAATAAGTATGCAAACTTATTAACTATTTAAAATTCATTTATTAATTAATTTATTTACTAATTAATTTACGCTAACAATGCAATAATGTAGACAACTGCTTACGTACCTGGTCTTTTTACGACCACATACAATTTACTTTGAATTTATTTTTACTTGAATGACTTATTCTAGCTATCGACTAATTATATGCGCGTACGAACATGTTGTATCTACCAATCCGAAAGTACTCGTAAAAGATCGCCTGCCGGACCGCAGTACCTCACAACTCACTAGACCAAAACCATTGGATCATATTTTCCAACCGAAACGGAGCCTGTGACTACAGCAAAAGCCAGTGCCGCGATCACTGAAAACGCAACGTAACAATAACAACAATAATTTACGTACAACCATAATCAGAAGTTACCATCAAGTTACCTATTTTACAGGCCCATTAAACTCAACCTTCTGTTCAAACTGCCACCACATGCTACAAATTCATATGGAATATCACAGTCCTGCTTATTCGGAGATAACTGTGGTAGCATGATGGTCACTGCATTCGCAAACCACGTCCCGAAACTACAGGCAATGCAAATTGGACAGGTACTGAGCAATATTTGCAAGTATTTAATCAATGTCAAAACGCCGGCAGAATTTCGCCCTCCCAATCTCAAAACAGCGGCAAAATTCCCTGCCCGCCGACTTTTTGTACGACAAAACGCCGGCCGAACTTTTTTAACATTTCCAACTACAACTATAGTATTAAAGAAATAACACCTGACAGGAACAGACAATAAGTTATACTTTACATGTTTATTGCGTGGCAAGTAAACCTCTAGGAAGTTATTATTTTTTTGTATTTCTAACTTTGGTCATATAAAAGTTGAAAAAATAAACAAATACTGTCGCCGTTTTGACCACCGAAATTCAATTCGAAACACTTCCAAAAAGTACAACTGTAAACAAATTGCATTATTAACTGGTACCCTAAATCGGTCACAAAATAATTATTTCTTTTTGTATTAGACATACCTATTCACGAATTACGATTTGAGAAAGGTCAACGAAAACTTCCGTTACGATTCAACCGAAAACGGAAATCTCTACATAACGGACAAAACAACGATTAACGAAACGCAAGAAGAGGAAGTTCTACCACATATTCTTACCACTCTTGCCGAAGCGACGCTCTCTTCGAATAAAGGCCACCTGAGAAGTATTGCCTGAAGACAATTATTTTTTCAATCACGTTTGGCGTCATATTTGCACCTTAATGATCACAGCACCACTATTTCCAGATTACCTAGCAATTGTCGAAAAAATCGAGCCCAAACAGGAGAAGTTTTTCAACAACCGGAAAAAACCGATTCGAAATGTAACAGTTCGGGATCAAAACTCATCAGCTACGATAACATTATGGGGCAACCTGGTAGGTTTTATTAATTATAAATTTATTAAGGTTAAATTTAAAAATTTATTTACAAAAATTTATTAAACATTAAATTTTTTTTTAAATTCACGTTTATTGAGATTCAGTATTTTACTTTATGTAATAATGTACACAAATTACATTTTCTACACTATTAACATGCAACTTTTCCTTCCTTCATCAGGCCGAATTTTTTGATCAAGCGTATCTGAACAAGCCGGTGTTTTTCGCAAACCTGATGTACAATGAACAATACAAATGTTTGCAATCCCAGTGGAAAAAAACTTATTTCCGAATCTCAGCCGTCGGAGTTGCACAGCAACTTGTCAAATGGGCGCAAGATATCGGATTTATTGATGACGATACCGACACCAGTGCACAAACAACATCCGACAACCGAAAACGTCCATCGCCAGTCGACCAGTCGGATCCAAAACGAAAGCAGATAAATTAATTCAATTATAAAACAACAACATGCTTACACATATTTTTTTATCTCTTGCTTAACTTCATCATATACGGTTTGAAACTACGTACTTTTTATGACTGCATCCAGTGTACTTTCCCAGTCATATCAAAATCATATTAATAATACCTAATATTTTCGATCAACGAATTACATAATTAAGCGTCCTATTTTTCCCAGTTTCCCTCAGTTTAATTTCTTGCGATTCAGCATGTGTTACCATAACAAAAGGAGTTACACTACTGAATTACAACAAAAACAATTTCAAAAATAATACTGAATTCCCAACGGGAAAACAGAGGCCCTGAAAAAGAAATTGTTGCCATGGGCCCCCATAGACGGACGTGGGCTATTCATTTGTATTGTCGCAGCGACAGAGGCAGCCCGTGGCCTTCGGCATCGCTTCGGCAAACAAAATAAAAAGTAAAACCAGGGCGAAATAATAAAAGTGGTCAAGCTGGCGATTACCGCAATCGTATTTTTTGCTTTTTTTCTTAGCTTTCTTAGGGGTCTTAGGTTTCGTAGGTTTCTTAGGTTTCTTAAGTTTCTTAAATTTCTTAGGTTTTCTTAGGTTGCTCATGTTTCTCACGTTTCTGAGGCTTCTTACTGTCAGAGGCACATGACTGCGCCTGGTGCATACGGCCCACCATGGACGTATTTGCACTCATGCTTGCCATATCGCCTCTCTGTACGTGCGTGTGTGGCTGCACTGCACTCCATATCCGCTGGAGCGGATATACGCGGCGCACACTGAGCATACTTACTCTCTCGTCCCTCTCTCGCAGTATGACTCAGCGTTCATACGCTCGCGTTGGATTGAGTCCAGTCTGCGCATCATCACACAGCTGATGGCACACAGCACGTGCTTGCCGCCAGTTGCTTTTTCACGCCTTGGCGAACGCTCAAGAGCTCTTCTAGCATTCACTTGCTTGCTTAGCCATCAGTGCTTTGTTTTGCTTTCCTGCTATTACGCAGCATTGTTCCCTTTATTTGTCAATAAAGCACACTCGTGATCTCCTCTGCTTGCCTGTTACATGGTAAGCAGAATCGTTTAGTTTTCTTTTTGACGGACCCTTTGAGGAGACGGTGAAGGCTCAATTCACGGAGAAATTGTGAGGAACCTGAAAGTCACTGTCAGATGATTGCTGAAGCAATCTGCCCTTGACTTTGATCAGAACGGTCGCATCGTCTTACAGCTGAGGAAAACGAGGATCACTGAAGTGATTCTTGCCCAGCTGGTGAGCACAGTTTTCTTGGTCTCTTCCACATTGAAGAGCGCATTTCCAACAGCACGGACTTTTCTCAACTGACGGATCAGACTCGAACGAGAGTCTGCAGCGCGAAGGATTAATCCAATTATACGGGGACCTTCGCTTTGAACAGCGACCCGCAACTTTACTCGCGGATTTCAGCTCGGAAACGACGGATTTCCGACCTCGGACGGAGGAAATCGACCGGAACCGACACCGACACCGACACTGGTAAAGTCACAGTTAGAGGTCGATTTTAGCCGAAACTAGGTCGGCATTTCATTTTCTAGTGGTAGAAAACAATTTCTATCCGTAAATCTAACATTTCTAACGGTGAAAAAGTAACTTTCGACGGAGAAACCGACTTGGAATTTTGCTTTTGGTCGAGAACCGACCTGCTAGGTCAACGAACCTGTCTAGACAGCTAGACAAAGGCTAACCGGCAACAGGTCGGAAATTTTCTTATTCTTGATTTCTAACGGCTTTTCGACCATCAGAAAATTTTCTAAATTAATAAAACTAATTTCTAACGGTTAAAAACTTCAAAATCCGACTAGATAAA